CTCAGACCATTTCCCCTTCCACATTTATTAAATATTACATTTAACTATCTCTTCTCTGACAGTAGTTGACATGTACTCATGAAAAATTGAGTAACTTAGTACCTCCCTCAGAAAGGGATTTTCCTAGTCCCTCTCCAAGGGTACTACATGATGATGAGCCTCCTCTCTGTGTCTGGGAAGGTCGTAGAACAGATCCACATTGAAAACATTAGGACACATGGGGGATGAACATCATCCCATCCATATATTTGAAAAGTCATGGCTGTCAGGTGAGGTCCCAGATGACTAGAGGAAAGGTCACGTCACTCCCATTTACAAGAAAGGGAGCAAGGAGGACCCCGGGAACTACAGGCCGGTGAGTCTCACCTCTGTGCCTGGGAAGATCATGGAACAGATCCTCCTGGATGACATGCTTGATCACATGGAATGAGGATCAGGAATGAGCGTGTGATCCGAGACTGCCAGCATGGCTTCACCAGGGTAAAGTCATACTTAGCCAATCTGGTGGACTTCTATGATGGAGTGACAGCATTGGTGGACAAGGAGAAGGCGACCGATGTCATTTACCTGGACTTGAGCAAGGCCTTCAACATGGTCCCCCACCACATCCTTATCTCCAAATTGGAGGGATGTGGATTTGACGGGTGGACCACTCGATACATAAGAAATTTGTTAAAAGGCCACAGACAGACAGTGGTGATTAATGGTTCTATGTCCAGGTGGAGGCTGGTAATGAGCGGCATCCCCCAGGGTCTGTCTTGGAATCCATGCTCTTTAACATCTTTATCAATGACACCGATGACGGAATCGAGTGCACCCTCAGCAAGTTTGCTGATGACACTAAGCTGGGTGGTGCGGTTGACATGGGGGAAGGAAGGGATGCCATTCAGAGAGACCTCAACAGGCTTGAAAGGTGGGCCTCGGTGAATCTAATGAGGTTCAACACAGCAAAGTGCAAGGTTTTGCACTTGGGCCAGGGGGAATCCCAGGCATCCCTACAGACTGGAAGGAGTGGTCCTTGAGAACAGCCCTGCAGAGAAGGACCTGGGGGTACTGATAGATGAAAAGCTTACCATGAGCCAGCAGTGTGCTCTTGCAGCTCAGAAAGCAGATGGTATTCTGGGCTCCATCAGAAGAGGGGTGGCCAGCAGGGACAGGGAGGTGATTGTCCCCCTCTACTCTGCTCTTGTGAGGCCCCATCTGGAGTACTGTGTCCAGGTCTGGAGCCCCCAGTACAAGAAAGACAGAGAACTGTTGGAGAGGGTCCAGTGGAGAGCCATGAAGATGATAAGGGAACTGGAGCACCTCCCCTACGAAGACAAGCTGAGACAGCTGGGCTTGTTCAGCCTGGAGAAGAGAAGGCTGCGGGGTGACCTCACTGCAGCCTTTCAGTACCTAAAGGGAGCATACAAACAGGAGGGGAATCAACTCTTTGAAAGGGTTGATAATTGCAGGACAAGGGGAAATGGTTTTAAGTTGAGGGAGGGAAGATTTAGGTTGGATGTCAGGGGGAAGTTCCTTACGGAGAGTGTGGTGAGGTGCTGGAACAGGCTGCCCAGAGAGGTTGTGGATGCCCTGTCCCTGGTGGTGTTCAAGGGCAGATTGGATGGGGCCCTGGGCAGCCTGGTCTAGTATTAAATGGGGAGGTCGGTGGCCCTGCCTGTGGCAGGGGGGGTTGGAGATTGATGATCCTTGAGGTTTCTTCCAACCCTGGCCATTCTGTGATTCTGTGATTCTGTGAGCAGGTGATCTGAGTCAGCCAGCTTCACCAAGTGGAGTTTGTGGCTGACCAATCTGGTGGCCTTCTACAGTGGAGTGATGGCATCAGTGGACAAAGGGAGGGCAACAGATGTCATCTACCTGGATTTGTGCAAGGCCTTTGACATGGTCTTGCACCACATTCTTATCTCAAAACTGGGGAGGTGTGGATTTGAAGAGTGGACTATTCATTAGATAAGGAATCTGTTGGAAGGTCCCAGTCAGAGGGTTGTGGTCAGTGGCTTTACATCCAGGTGGAGGCAGGTGATGAATGGTGTCTACCAGAGCGCTGTCCTTGGACCAGTACCCTTTAGCATCTTTGTCAGTGGTACAGATGATGGGATTGAGTGCACTCTCAACAAATTTGTTGATGATACCAAGTTGAGGGGTGCAGCTGATATGGCAGAAGGAAGCGATGCCATCCAGAGGGATCTTAATAAACTCAAAAAGTGAGCCCTTGTGAAACTAATGAGGTTCAACAAAGCAAAGCACAGGGTTTTGCACTTGGGTTGAGGTAATCCCAGATGTGTATACAAAGTGGAAGAAAAAAGAACTCCTTGAGAGTAACCCTCCTGAGAAGGACTCAGGTTCTGGTTGAAGAAAAACATAACATGAGCCAGCAACATGTGCTCGCAGGATGAAAGGCCAATGGTATCCTTTGTTGCATCAGAAGAGGACTGGCCAGTGGGGCAAGGGAGGTGATTGTCCTCTTTTACTCTGCCCTTGTGAGGCCCCATCTATAGTACTGCATCCAGGTCTGAGGCCCACAACACAGAAAAGATGTGAAGCTGCTGGAGAGGGTCCAAAGGAGGATCAGAGAGCTGGAGCACCTCTCCTGTGAAGACAGGCTGGGGGAGCTGGGATTGTTCATCCTGGAGAAGAGAAGGCAGTGGGGAAATATCACTGTGGCCTTCCAGTACTTAAAGGGAGATTATAAACAGGAGAGGGAACAACTTCTTACATGATAGGACATGATAGATAGTGATAGGACAAGGGGGAATGGTTTTAAACTAAAGAAGGGGAGATTTTAGCAAAACTTCAGGCAAGTAAGCTGCATAGCAGAAATTTGCACCCAGAGCCTTTGCAGAAAGGTAAATCTGAGGTAAAACATTGCAGAAAAAGCCGTTAGGAAGGGACTGAGCAGCCTCTGACGTTCAGCAGTACTGACGCGGTGTGGACACAGCCAGGAGTGACAGTGGCCGAACCCACCTGTGTGTGTAAAGCCTGCAACTAGGCAAACAAGGTGTAGCATGGCAGAAGAAGGAAACAAATCAGAGGAGATTAGCTTTAAATATCTGGCTTTGGGGCTGGTGCCACTGCCAGAACTTTGTTCTTTTTGACAGCCAATTAGCCTATATGGTCCTGGGTTTGTGGGCACTAGGTGGGGTTTGCGTTTCTCAAAGAGGGAAAAGGATTCTCGGGAAAAAGCTCATTGGGAGAGCTTTAAACTAGGTCTGAATGGGCAGGAGTGACAGTGATCCTTCCCACAGTAAGGTACAGGAAGACTTAACTATGTTAGAGAGCGCTGGCAGAGACCTTGAAGGAGCTGCTGCCTTGAGAGGTGGTGGCAACATAGTAGCACATACAAAGCTGTAGGATGGTGAAGCAGTGATGCTGGGGCAATGGGAGATGGCAATGGAGGAAATAAAGGGAAATACCTAAAAGGACTTAAGGAGTCATTCTTTAAGGAAGTGACAAGACCAGCTACCAAGCTGAAGTGCCTCTACGCCAATACATGCAGTTTGGGAAACAAGCAGGAGGAGCTTATGCTACTAGAAAACCACAATACAGTTGTCACCGAAACCTGGTGGCATGATTCCCACGACTGGAGTGTGGCTATCAATGGCTACAGAAGGCACAGACAAGAAAAGAGGGGAGGGGGTGTTTCTATCTACATCAGGAAGGAAATAGAATGTGAAGAGCTGTCCCTAAAGAGCAATCATAAGCAAGTCAACAGCCTAGGGGTGACAATTAGAGACCAAGGCAGCAAAGGGAGTCTTGTGATCTCTGTCTACTACAGGCCACCAGATCAGCCAGAGCCTGTCGATGAGGTCTTCTACCTCCAGCTACAGAAAGTGTCGCAATCGCAAGTGCATGTCCTGCTTGGACACCTGCTAGAAAAGTAGCACAATGAGCTATAGGCAATCCAGGATGCTCCTGAAATGTACTGAGGATAGATTCCTGAGTCAAATAATTGATGGCCCCACAAAGAGGTATGCAATACTGGACATGTTTCTCACCAGCATAAATGAACTGATTGGCAATACTGGGACTGAAGGCTGCCTGGGCAGTAGTGACCATACTATGGTTGAGTTCAGGCTCTGGATGGATATGAGACAGGCAAAGAGTAAAATTAGGAAGCTAAACCTGAGGAAAGCTAGCTTCCAGATCCTAGGGGAATTAATCAAGACACCCTGAGAAACTGTCCTCTTGAAAACGGTCCTCTTGTCAAAGCTGGCAGATCTTTAAGGAGGCTTTCCTCAGAGCACAGGAGCTCTCCAAAGCCAGGTGTAGCATACTGGGAAAGGAAGGCAAGAGACCTGTGTGACTGAACTGGGACCTGCTGGTCAAACTGGAGAGTGAGAGGAAAACACACTGGCAGTGGAAACAGTGACAGGTACTGTGGGAAGAATATACAGAAACTGCTAGGTTGCATAGGGATAAGCTCAGAAAAGCCAAGGCTCAGCTTAGAATCATAGAATCATAGAATGGCCCAGGTTGAAAGAGAAAATGATCATCTAGTTTCAACCCCCCTGCTATGTGCAGGGTCACCAACCACCAGACCAGGCTGCCCAGAGATACATCCATCCTGCCCTTAAATGCCTCCAGGGATGGGGCATCCACAGCCGCTCTGGGCAGCCTGTTCCAGTGCGTCACCACCCTCTGTGTGGAAAACTTCCTCCTAATCTAACCTAAACCTCCCTGCATTAGTTTAAAATCATCCCACCTTGTCCTATCACTATCATCTCCAGTAAGCAATCTTTCTCCCTCCTCTTTATATGCTTCCTTCAAGTATTGGAAGGCCACAATGAGGTCTCCCGGAAGCTTTCTCTTCTCTGAGCTAAACAAGCCCAGTTCCCTCAACCTTTCTTCATAGGAAAGGAGTTCCAGCCCTCTGATCATCTTAGTGGCCCTCCTCTGGACCTGCTCCTTGTCTTTCTTCTACTGGGGGCCCCAGGTCTGGACACAGTACTCCAGGTGGGGCCTCACAAGAGAAGAGAAGAAGGGGACAATCACCTCCCTCTTCCTGCTGGCCATTCCTCTTTTAATGCAGCCTAGAATACAGTTGGCCTTCCGAGATGCAACTGCATATTGCAGGCTCAGCTTGAACTGAACTTGGAAGAGGTTGACAAAAAGAACAAGAGCTCATACCCTCGGGAAGTTTGCAGATGACAGATGCAGATCAGTGGTATGAGGCTCAGCAAGACCAAGTGCCAGGTCCTGCACCTGAGTCACAACAACCCCCTGCAGAGCTACAAGCCTGGGGCAGAGTGGATGTTGGAGAACGATCTGGGGGCATTAGTCAAGAGCCATCTGAACGTTTGCCAGCAATGTGCCCAAATAGCCAAGACAACCAAAGGCATCCTGACTTGTGTCAGTAACGGTGTCACAGTATCGTCAGCAGGACCAAGGATGTGATTGTTCCTCTGCACTCGGCAACAGTGAGGCTGCACCTGGAGTACATGTTCAGTTACGGGCCCTTCACTACAAGACAGACACTGAGGTGCAGAAGCGTGTCCAGGGAAGAGCAATGAAGCCGGTTAAGGGTCTGAAGCACAGATCTTATAGGGAGTGGTTGAAAGAACTGTGTTGTTTAGTCTGGAGACGTTATTTCTCCCTACTACAACCTGAAGGGAGGTTGTAGCAAGGTGGGGGTTGGCCTGTTCTCCCAGGTAACAGCAACAAGATGAGAAGGAAAAGCCTTAAGTTGTACCAAGGGAGGTCCAGGTTTGATACGGGAAAATTTCTTCTTGAATGGCCAAGAACAAGAACAAGAACAGCACTGGGACAGGCTGGACTACTCAGGAAAGTGGTGGAGTCACCGTTCCTGGGGTGTTCAAGAAATGTGTAGATGTGTCACTTGGGGACATGGTTTACTGGGCTTGGGGGTGGCAGTTGGGCGGTTGGATGCAGGGCAACATAAGACAGGATGCAGGCAGAATCCTTGGGAAATGTAGAGATCAGCTGGAAGAGATTAGCTCTACTGGGAAGACAAATCAGAGGGATATGGACCTCAACTGCTGCCATCTTGGAGGGGCCCTCATAACAAGATGGAGGCCTGCGTGAAGAGTGTGGGTAGGCAGCAGGAGGCAGAGTGCCCCATCCAGGCTCCACCTCATGGTTCCAGGGGTGGGTGGGCAGCACTGTGATGTCAGCATAGCTGAACTCAATTCTGAGTTCAGAGGGGTGGTTCCACCTCTGCTATTGCGGCCGTGACCAGCGTTTAGTGATGGTTGATGGCAGCTCTCTTTATCCCTGTTACCCTTATCCTTCTCTATGGCCTCATGTTCCTGGTGGCCGGAATCTTCCTGCTCACCGTGATCCGAAACCTACGGGTAGAGGAGATACGAGGGTGGGGGTGACTTGTGGCTGGGGGACTCATGGCTGGGTGAGTCGGGGTCAACTATGTGGGACCCCTCAGGAGCGTAACTGTGCCATGTCCATGTGCCTACAGGCTGGCAGACGACGCTTGCGGTGGAGGAGATGGTGGAGGCGAGCAGTGGCACCAGAACCAGGTGAGCTCTCTGAGGGTCAGCCTGAGCCGCAGGCTTGCCCAGGAGCATCCATCCCCAGGCAGGACCTGGCCTCTTGGAGCAGCTGAGCTGCGGCCCACAACCTGACACAGTGCAGCCTGGCCAGATGGGCCCAGGGCACGGGCATGCAAACTTTTGTCTTCCCTGGGCTGTGGTGGGTGTGTGCTCAGGGCCGGACTGGGCCTCTCAGCAGGGCAGAGCTGCAGGTGACATGGGGCAGAAGCGAGGCTGCAGTGACAGCTGTACCAGGCTGCACGAGGCCCACAGGCCACAGATTGGACATGCCTGGCCCAGAGCATCCCCAGAGTCCCCAGCCCACTTCTCCCTGTTTTGCAGGTGCTGAGAGACAGGCAGCCAAACACAGCAGCTCCCAGTGCAAGCCATGGTGCCCCTGCAGTAAGGCCAACCAGGAGCTCCAGCAGCTGGTCCTGTCAGGGCTGCCTGGGCACAGGTCTGTGCTGGACCCTGACTTCTGGCAGGCGGCCTGGAGGGACCTGGAGGAACTGGTGAAGCAGAACAGCCTGTCGTGCCACTGTTGCAGCTCCTCTGAGGTTCGATGCTGTCCCAGAAAAGGCTATGACCACTCCTTGACTGTGCCTGGCAGTGCACCGACAGAGCCGGTGCCAGTCTGCACCCCTGGATCCACGTGGAGTGCTGGAGCCCACAAATCCCTGAGCATGCATGTGGCATGGAAAAGCCTGAAAGTGCACCTGAGGGCCCTGCACGAATGGCTGTTATTCTCCCAGCTGCAGGCAAGGAAAAGGCAATGCTGCTCCGTCCTGCCCAAGCTCATCAAGCCAGGGCAGACTGAGCCTCTGCTGCAGCACCGTCTGAGCCCCTTGCTGCAGGCCAAGGGTAACTGCACGGCAGGCAACATTCTTAAGAAGCAAGAGCTGAAACAGTGGGAGGGCCCCAACCCTACTGAGATCTCCCAGAACCCACTGGTGCCATGCCTCCCCACTGCTTCTGCTTCCCCAGAGTATGGGTCTTTCTCAGAATCTCATTTTGTTCTCTATTTCCAGGGCCAGGCTGAGGCCCAGGGGCATCCCAGGAAGAGACAGCAGCACTACCAGGGCCAGCCCAAGGAGTCAGCAAAGATTCCTTTGCCTCTGTGCTCGGCACCTAAGGAGACAGAACGTCCAATGGCTAGAGCAGCACTTCCTGGCCCAGCCGAAGCAGCACGGCTAAAGGACAACAGCAGTCAAATGGGCGCCTCAGATCTGCGTGTGGCTGACATTAAAGCTATCAGCAGGCAGCACCACAGGGCAGTGCCTGACAACATCTCAAAACTGCAGCTCAGTCAGGTGACTTGTGGGAAGCTTTCCATGCACACAGACAGAAAATGCCTGGAGCTAAAGTTTCAACTCCTCCGTACTTCAGCGCGGAGGCCCACAGAACTGCTGCAAAATTTACAGCCAACACAGGCTGAGCCAGTCTCCGCACCCAAGAGGATGTGCCTCCTCCATCCTGACCAGGACAGGAGACAGCAGCGTGGGGCCAAGGCACCGGGATCCCGCCTGGTCCCCATGTACTTCTACAGCTGTGAGGCTCGGTTCCTGACTGAGGAGGAGCGTGAGACCCTGGAGCTGCACATCCGCTCCATGAAGCTGAAGCACCTTGGCAACAGCCTCATTTCAGGCCATCCGCTGCAGTCAGCAGCGTCCTGGGAGAAGGAGTCCACCAGCACATACGTGACTGCACCATCTGAGGCAAGCTGGGCTGAGGCAGGCCCCAAAGGACACAAATGGTGGTCCTGGTGGAAGAAGTGACCTAGGAGAGCAACTGGAGCACCAAAGCAGAATGCAGCAGTTCTCCACCTGACAGTGTAACATTCTGTGAAGCACAACAGAATACCACCACCTGACGCAGCTCATCATTATAGCCCTGCAGTGACCTTGGCTGTGGCTCCAAGAAATCGTGCCACTCGCACCATGCCCGGGATGCTGCAGCCATACCAACTGACAAGAAGGTCTACGTAGCCTGGGCAAAGATGTGCTCGATGCCCTAAATGCCAAGGACCTCTGACTCTAAGCCCATCCATCTTGCCTGTAAGGAGAGGAAGGGCCAGGTTCAGCAGCACCCCTTCTCTTCAAAAAAATCTTTATTTTTTAAAATAAATAAGTTTATTTATTTGTGCCAAAGAGCTTTCTCTGTGGGGCCTCCCTGGGGATTGAGGTAGGAGATGGGCTCAGCAGTACCAGGGAAGGTGAGTTGTCCCAAAGGAGGACATGGGGATTAGGATAAGCCAGGACAAATTGGCTGGAGCTTCTTCTGGCTATGCCTTGGGAGCAGCCTGGGGCTTTGTGACTCATCTGGAGGCACAGAACCAAGTCCTGCACCACCTCATGCTGCTGCGAGGAGACTGCAGGCTCCCACAGCACCAGGAACTGGCCATCAGCTCCTTCTACAGGCAGGCAGGCTTGAGGTAGCGCAGGGCAAGTCCTTTGGCTCACCTTAGCTTCTGATCCAGGAGTCAGCCCAGCCCAGTCTGTGGGGATCAGGATGGGAAAGACAGCATGAAGCAGTAACTAAGGCCGCAGAATGGGATCTGTTGCCCAAATTCTCCCTTGCGCTGGCCAAACAGTGCATATATAAAGAATACGGTTCTCACGTTTGTGAAGCAGCCTCCAGTCACTCCCAATTATCTGACAGTAACTTCTGTTCTCTTGTGGACCAATTTCTGGCTCGCCAGGATGCACAGATACAGACTAGCTGGTCACTCGGCTTTGCCACCAAGACGGGAGCTGTGCCCTTTTCACCTGAGCACTAGTCACACACACTGCTCCTCCCCAGAGCTGCTCTGGGGGCCCAACCAGGAGGCTGCTGTCCTGGAGGCTGAGCAGCACTGAGACAAATTTGAATCACAGAATCGTAGAATCACAAGGTTGGAAAGGACCTACAAGATGATCTAGTCCAACTGTCCTCCCATTACCATTGCTACCACAAGCTACTAAACCATATCTTGCAGCTCCTCATCCAGACGCCTCTTGAACACTGCCAGGGACAGCGACCCCACCACCTCCCCGGGGCAGTTCATTCCAGTGCCTGACCACTCTGACAGAAAAAGCTTTTCCTTATGTCTAATCTAAATCTCCTCTGTATTCCATTTTTAAAAAAGGTAAAAAGGATGACTACCAACCTGTCAGTCTCACCGCTGTGCAGAGGAAGATGATGGAGCAGATCCTCCTGGATGGCATGCTTAAGCCACATGGAAGGCAGTGAGGTTATATGGGAGAACCAGCAAGGCCTCACCAAGAGCAAATCCTGCTTGACCAACCTGGTGGCCAACATGTTGTCAATTCCTCGGGTCCTGTTTGTTGCCTGGAAGAAGAGGCCAAACCCTTCCTCATCATAACCTCCCTTCAGGAATTTGTAGCGTGCAATGAGATATCCCCTGAATCTCCTCTTCTACAGTCTACACAATCCCAGCTCCCTCAGCCGCTCCTTGTAAAACTTGTGCTCCAAATTGCTCACCAGTTTCATTTCCATGTTCCAGAGCCTCCATGTCTTTCTAGTATTGAGGTTCCCAAAACTGAACATAGTACTCAAGGTGTAGCTTCACCAGTGCTGAGTACAGGCTGATTATTACCTCCCTGTTCCTGCTAGCCACACTATTTCTAATGCAGGCCAGGATGACATTGGGCCACTTGGCTTCCTGGGCTCACTGTCGGCTCATGTTCAGCCAAGCATCAACCAACACTCCCAGGTCCCTTTCCTCTTCACAGTCATCCAGCCACTCAGTTCCAAGCCTGTAGCACTGCATGGGGTTATTGTGGCCCTACACTTGGTCTTGTTGAACCTCATCCCATTCACCTCAGCCTAGCAATCCAGCTTATCTAGATCCCTTCAAAGGGCTTCCCTAACCTCAGGCAGATTGACACCACCTCCCAGCTTGGTGTCATTTGCAAACTTACTGAGGGTACACTCAATCCCCTCACCTAGGTCATCAATAAAGATATTATACAAGACGGACCAGAGTACCAACCCCTGGGGGACACCACTTGTAACGGATCGCCAGCTGGACTTAACTCCATTCACCACTACCCAATGAGCTGGCCCTCTAGCCAGTTCCTTACCTAAAGAAGGGTATACCTGTCCAGGCCACGGGCAGCCAGTTTCCCCAGAAGAATACTGTAAGAGACCGTGTCAAAGGCTTTGCTGAAGTCTAGGTAGACTACATCAACAGCCTTCCCATCATCTACCAGTCTGGTCACCCAGTCGTAGAAGGAGATGAGGTTGGTCAAGCACGACCTGCCTTTCATGAACCCGTGCTGGCTGGGCCTGATCCCTTGGGTGCCACAGACGTGCCGTGTGATCTCACCCAAAGTGATTTGCTCCATAACTTTCCCTAGTGATGAGGTCAGGCTGACAGGCCTGTAGTTCCATGAATCCTCCTTACGGCCCTTCTTGTGGATGGGAGTCCTGTCGGCAAGCCCCCAGTCCTCTGGGACCTCTCCAGATAACCAGGAGTGCTGGTAAATGGCTGAGAGCAGCTCCCTCAGCACCCTAGGATGGAGCCTGTCTGGTCCCATGGACTTGTGACAGTCCAGACAGAGGAGGAGCTCTCTAACTGTCTCTATCTGAATCACCAGGGGTGTATTCTGTGTAGCATCCCAGACTTCCAGATAAGGGTGTAAAGTGCCCTGAGGATAACTGACCTGCCAATTAAAGGCAGATGCAAAGAAGGCATTGAGGACCTTAGCCCTCTCCTTATCCTCAGTGGTTACATTTCCCACTGCATCAAGTAAAGGATAGAAATTCTCCTTGGTTGATATATTGTTGATATATTTGTAAAAGGATTTCTTATTCTCTTTTACTGCAGTGGCCAAGTTCTAATTGTGCTTTTGGCTTCCTAACTTTCACCCTGCACACCTTAGCACCTTCCTTGTAATCTCCCCAGGTAGCCTGTACCTTCTTCTGGAGGACATAGACACCCTTTTTCTTCCAGAGTCTCAACAATAGTTCCCAGTTCATCCATGCTGGTCTTCTTTCCCTGCAGCTTGCCTTACAGCATTCAGGAACAGCCTGTTCTTGTGCCCTTAAGATTTTCATCTTGAGCAGCGTCCAGGCTTCCCTTTACCCTTAAGGAACCCTTGCAGCAAGCATCCTGTCCAGGTCAAAATCCGCCCTCTTGAAATTCAAGATTCAAGCAGTTTTGCTAGTCACCCTTCTGACATCTCCAAGAAGAGAGAATTCTACAATTTCATGGTTGGTCTGCCCAAGACAGTCCCCAACCTTCACATCTCCCAACAGTCCTTCTCTGTTAGTGAAGAGCAGATCTAGCAGGACACCACCCCTTGTGGGCTCTCATACTAGTTGCGTAAAGAAGCTATCTTCCACACACTCTAGAAACCTCTTTGACTGCTTCCTCTGTGCTGTATTATATTTCCAACATATATCAGGGAAGTTGAAGTCTTCCATGAGAACAGGTGCTGTTGATCGTGCACCTTCCACAAGGTGCTCATAGAATGTCTCATCTATCTCCTCATCCTGATTAGGTGGTTTATAACAGACCCCCACCAAGATGTCACTCTTACAGGCCTTCCCCCGATCCTTACCCATAGACACCCAACTTTTATAATTCCCAATCCCAAGCTCTTCAACATCAAAACAGTTTTTAATATAAAGGGCCACACCACCGTCCTTTCCTCCTTGTCTATCCCTTCCGAAGATCTTGTAGCCATCCATCACAGTGCTCAAGTCATAGGAGTGGTCCCACCATTTTTCAGTAACAGTAACTAGGTCATAGTTAGCCTGCTGCAAAATCGCTTCCAGTTCCTCCTACATGTTGCCCACGCTGTGTGCATTGGTGTAGATGCACTCCAACTGAATCACCTGCCTCACCTGCAGCTCAAGCATTGTTCCCCTAGGCTCTCTCTCTGGTGAGTCTCCCTCCCCCACTGTAGCTAGTTTAAAGCTCTTTCGGTAAGCCTTGCTAATTCCTGCACTAGGATTTGTTTCCCCCTTTAAGATAGGTGGGTTCCATGCACAGGCCAGGGACCAAGTAAACTGCCCCATGATCAAAGAACCCAAAGTTTCTGCCTCAACACCAGCCTCTGAGCCAAGAGGCTTCCTTTGCTGGAGGGAGATCCCAGCTCTGCTTGTATGACACATATCACACCTCTGGCCTCATGTTTCCCACAAGCCACACAAGAGTGTTTGGGAGCTACAAGTTCCCCAAAGGCATGAGCTCATGCTCAAGAAGACTTTGGGGCTTGGAGAAACTCCAGGCTCAAGGAAGACTAAAACAGGAGGCAGAGAACACCCCTCTGAATGAGAGAGGGCACCCTGGGAGCTCTGGCTACAGCAGTCATTCTGCTAAGCAGTGGCAGGATACACACCAGGGTCACCTGCTCCTCCCAGTCTCCAGTCATTCTCATCCTCACTGCTGTCCACAGCCGAGCATGCAGAGTTGTGAAAAGGTTTTACCATAGTAGTCTGAATTTCTTGAGTGGATGGAAATGCCACCAGGAGACACCTCAGATAAGTGAAAACTGCTTTATTCATGTTGGTGTATCTGCTTCTCACTGCCTTCTTTCTAACAAGGCTGAGAGCTTGTGGTATAAATGGATTGCATGTGCTCTCCACTGTTAGCCTCATTCTGGTCCATATACACATGATAAATACCTCCTATGCAGCTTTTCTTATGCATGAGGGCGGGATATCCCCAGCTAACATCAAACAAGGTCCAACATCATCATTTTACAGTAAGGACACATCAGTGAATGGATCCAGCTTAAGAGTAAACCTTTGCTTTTCAGGGAGCTTTTTAATTCTGTGTCAGCCCTAAGATACACTAAAGAATATGATCCCCAAAACACCAGGAATGGCAAAAATGGTAGGTAAATGACAAGTGGCAGGGAACAGTAGGGTTGTCTGGCATTGCTTGCAAAATCCATATTTTGTTCAACTTTGGGCTCAGATGCATTCTTCCTAGATGACCAGGACTTCCCAAAAGCAGTCTATGTGGAAAACGTTCACTAACTGAAATGATGACAGAAGACAAAAGACTTCTTGAAGAAGTCTGTTTAACCTTTTTTCTCCATTCTGTCTGGACCTCTGCATTAGTAGTTGCACTGGAATCAGCCACCAGAACCTACCCTTCCCACCATTTCCATATAAC